TTTTTTGTAGATCTCCTTTTCCTCTACAAAAAAGGTTCTTATGTATATTTGGCTATTTCCCATAGGTTTTGAGATATCGAGTAAAAACAAATCTTGAAGTTGAAAAATTAAATTTTTGGACTCAACTACAGTCTTTGGGCAATATCTCTGGATCTAAGGGAGATGGCGAAATTCTTGTAAGGACCTTTTTTGTAGATCTCCTTTTCCTCTACAAAAAAGGTTCTTATGTATATTTGGCTATTTCCCATAGGTTTTGAGATATCGAGTAAAAACAAATCTTGAAGTTGAAAAATTAAATTTTTGGACTCAACTACAGTCTTTGGGCAATATCTCTGGATCTAAGGGAGATGGCGAAATTCTTGTAAGGACCTTTTTTGTAGATCTCCTTTTCCTCTACAAAAAAGGTTCTTATGTATATTTGGCTATTTCCCATAGGTTTTGAGATATCGAGTAAAAACAAATCTTGAAGTTGAAAAATTAAATTTTTGGACTCAACTACAGTCTTTGGGCAATATCTCTGGATCTAAGGGAGATGGCGAAATTCTTGTAAGGACCTTTTTTGTAGATCTCCTTTTCCTCTACAAAAAAGGTTCTTATGTATATTTGGCTATTTCCCATAGGTTTTGAGATATCGAGTAAAAACAAATCTTGAAGTTGAAAAATTAAATTTTTGGACTCAACTACAGTCTTTGGGCAATATCTCTGGATCTAAGGGAGATGGCGAAATTCTTGTAAGGACCTTTTTTGTAGATCTCCTTTTCCTCTACAAAAAAGGTTCTTATGTATATTTGGCTATTTCCCATAGGTTTTGAGATATCGAGTAAAAACAAATCTTGAAGTTGAAAAATTAAATTTTTGGACTCAACTACAGTCTTTGGGCAATATCTCTGGATCTAAGGGAGATGGCGAAATTCTTGTAAGGACCTTTTTTGTAGATCTCCTTTTCCTCTACAAAAAAGGTTCTTATGTATATTTGGCTATTTCCCATAGGTTTTGAGATATCGAGTAAAAACAAATCTTGAAGTTGAAAAATTAAATTTTTGGACTCAACTACAGTCTTTGGGCAATATCTCTGGATCTAAGGGAGATGGCGAAATTCTTGTAAGGACCTTTTTTGTAGATCTCCTTTTCCTCTACAAAAAAGGTTCTTATGTATATTTGGCTATTTCCCATAGGTTTTGAGATATCGAGTAAAAACAAATCTTGAAGTTGAAAAATTAAATTTTTGGACTCAACTACAGTCTTTGGGCAATATCTCTGGATCTAAGGGAGATGGCGAAATTCTTGTAAGGACCTTTTTTGTAGATCTCCTTTTCCTCTACAAAAAAGGTTCTTATGTATATTTGGCTATTTCCCATAGGTTTTGAGATATCGAGTAAAAACAAATCTTGAAGTTGAAAAATTAAATTTTTGGACTCAACTACAGTCTTTGGGCAATATCTCTGGATCTAAGGGAGATGGCGAAATTCTTGTAAGGACCTTTTTTGTAGATCTCCTTTTCCTCTACAAAAAAGGTTCTTATGTATATTTGGCTATTTCCCATAGGTTTTGAGATATCGAGTAAAAACAAATCTTGAAGTTGAAAAATTAAATTTTTGGACTCAACTACAGTCTTTGGGCAATATCTCTGGATCTAAGGGAGATGGCGAAATTCTTGTAAGGACCTTTTTTGTAGATCTCCTTTTCCTCTACAAAAAAGGTTCTTATGTATATTTGGCTATTTCCCATAGGTTTTGAGATATCGAGTAAAAACAAATCTTGAAGTTGAAAAATTAAATTTTTGGACTCAACTACAGTCTTTGGGCAATATCTCTGGATCTAAGGGAGATGGCGAAATTCTTGTAAGGACCTTTTTTGTAGATCTCCTTTTCCTCTACAAAAAAGGTTCTTATGTATATTTGGCTATTTCCCATAGGTTTTGAGATATCGAGTAAAAACAAATCTTGAAGTTGAAAAATTAAATTTTTGGACTCAACTACAGTCTTTGGGCAATATCTCTGGATCTAAGGGAGATGGCGAAATTCTTGTAAGGACCTTTTTTGTAGATCTCCTTTTCCTCTACAAAAAAGGTTCTTATGTATATTTGGCTATTTCCCATAGGTTTTGAGATATCGAGTAAAAACAAATCTTGAAGTTGAAAAATTAAATTTTTGGACTCAACTACAGTCTTTGGGCAATATCTCTGGATCTAAGGGAGATGGCGAAATTCTTGTAAGGACCTTTTTTGTAGATCTCCTTTTCCTCTACAAAAAAGGTTCTTATGTATATTTGGCTATTTCCCATAGGTTTTGAGATATCGAGTAAAAACAAATCTTGAAGTTGAAAAATTAAATTTTTGGACTCAACTACAGTCTTTGGGCAATATCTCTGGATCTAAGGGAGATGGCGAAATTCTTGTAAGGACCTTTTTTGTAGATCTCCTTTTCCTCTACAAAAAAGGTTCTTATGTATATTTGGCTATTTCCCATAGGTTTTGAGATATCGAGTAAAAACAAATCTTGAAGTTGAAAAATTAAATTTTTGGACTCAACTACAGTCTTTGGGCAATATCTCTGGATCTAAGGGAGATGGCGAAATTCTTGTAAGGACCTTTTTTGTAGATCTCCTTTTCCTCTACAAAAAAGGTTCTTATGTATATTTGGCTATTTCCCATAGGTTTTGAGATATCGAGTAAAAACAAATCTTGAAGTTGAAAAATTAAATTTTTGGACTCAACTACAGTCTTTGGGCAATATCTCTGGATCTAAGGGAGATGGCGAAATTCTTGTAAGGACCTTTTTTGTAGATCTCCTTTTCCTCTACAAAAAAGGTTCTTATGTATATTTGGCTATTTCCCATAGGTTTTGAGATATCGAGTAAAAACAAATCTTGAAGTTGAAAAATTAAATTTTTGGACTCAACTACAGTCTTTGGGCAATATCTCTGGATCTAAGGGAGATGGCGAAATTCTTGTAAGGACCTTTTTTGTAGATCTCCTTTTCCTCTACAAAAAAGGTTCTTATGTATATTTGGCTATTTCCCATAGGTTTTGAGATATCGAGTAAAAACAAATCTTGAAGTTGAAAAATTAAATTTTTGGACTCAACTACAGTCTTTGGGCAATATCTCTGGATCTAAGGGAGATGGCGAAATTCTTGTAAGGACCTTTTTTGTAGATCTCCTTTTCCTCTACAAAAAAGGTTCTTATGTATATTTGGCTATTTCCCATAGGTTTTGAGATATCGAGTAAAAACAAATCTTGAAGTTGAAAAATTAAATTTTTGGACTCAACTACAGTCTTTGGGCAATATCTCTGGATCTAAGGGAGATGGCGAAATTCTTGTAAGGACCTTTTTTGTAGATCTCCTTTTCCTCTACAAAAAAGGTTCTTATGTATATTTGGCTATTTCCCATAGGTTTTGAGATATCGAGTAAAAACAAATCTTGAAGTTGAAAAATTAAATTTTTGGACTCAACTACAGTCTTTGGGCAATATCTCTGGATCTAAGGGAGATGGCGAAATTCCTGTAAAGACCTTTTTTGTAGATCTCCTTTTCCTCTACAAAAAACCTTTTTTGTAGATCTCCTTTTCCTCTACAAAAAAGGTCCTTACAAGAATTTCGCCATCTCCCTTAGATCCAGAGATATTGCCCAAAGACTGCAGTTGAGTCCAAAAATTTAATTTTTCAACTTCAAGATTTGTTTTTGCTCGATATCTCAAAACCTATGGGAGATAGCCAAATATACGTAAGAACCTTTTTTGTAGATCTCCTTTTCCTCTACAAAAAAGGTCCTTACAAGAATTTCGCCATCTCCCTTAGATCCAGAGATATTGCCCAAAGACTGCAGTTGAGTCCAAAAATTTAATTTTTCAACTTCAAGATTTGTTTTTGCTCGATATCTCAAAACCTATGGGAGATAGCAAAATATACGTAAGAACCTTTTTTGTAGATCTCCTTTTCCTCTACAAAAAAGGTCCTTACAAGAATTTCGCCATCTCCCTTAGATCCAGAGATATTGCCCAAAGACTGCAGTTGAGTCCAAAAATTTAATTTTTCAACTTCAAGATTTGTTTTTGCTCGATATCTCAAAACCTATGGGAGATAGCCAAATATACGTAAGAACCTTTTTTGTAGATCTCCTTTTCCTCTACAAAAAAGGTCCTTACAAGAATTTCGCCATCTCCCTTAGATCCAGAGATATTGCCCAAAGACTGCAGTTGAGTCCAAAAATTTAATTTTTCAACTTCAAGATTTGTTTTTGCTCGATATCTCAAAACCTATGGGAGATAGCAAAATATACGTAAGAACCTTTTTTGTAGATCTCCTTTTCCTCTACAAAAAAGGTCCTTACAAGAATTTCGCCATCTCCCTTAGATCCAGAGATATTGCCCAAAGACTGCAGTTGAGTCCAAAAATTTAATTTTTCAACTTCAAGATTTGTTTTTGCTCGATATCTCGAAACCTATGGGAGATAGCAAAATATACGTGAGAACCTTTTTTTGTAGATCTCCTTTTCCTCTACAAAAAAGGACCTTACAAGAATTTCGCTATCTCCCTTAGATCCAGAGTTATTGCCCAAAGACTGTAGTTGAGTCCAAAAATTTAATTTTTCAACTTCAAGATTTGTTTTTACTCGATATCTCAAAACCTATGGGAGATAGCCAAATACACGCGAGAACCTTTTTTGTAGATGTCTTTTTCCTCTACAAAAAAGGTCATTACAAGAATTTCGCCATCTCCCTTAGATCCAAAGATATTGCCCAAAGACTGCAGTTGAGTCCAAAAATTTAATTTTTCAACTTCAAGATTTGTTTTTGCTCGATATCTCAAAACCTATGGGAGATAGGAAGATATACGTAAGAACCTTTTTTGTAGTTCTCGTTTTCCTCTACAAAAAAGGTCCTCACAAAAATTTTCCTATCTCGCTTAATTACGAAGATATTCACAAAAAACTCAATGAAGTATTCGTTTTTCACCAACATGACGAACAGAATGTTAAATCTTCCGTTTCTCATTCAGCGATGGCTAGTAAATAAACAAATGCAGTTGGAAGGTGGTTTCCAAGGAAGAACGAACAAACTAGTCGACGGTTGTTACTCCTTCTGGCAGGGTGCCTCTTTCCCCCTGATCCACGCTATTTTATCTAACGAAGCTAATCTACCAAATACCAACTACTGGCTGTTTGATCAGGCAGCCCTCCAAGAGTACTTACTCATCTGCTGTCAGCACCCCTACGGCGGCCTCCTCGACAAGCCAGAGAAGTAAACACCCAGCCACTGCACAATCACTCACTTTCCACAGTTGTTCCATCCCCCAGAGTTACAAAACACAAGACACCAAATAAACCTCCTTGCTTTCATCGTCAATATCTCTGATCTCACCGGTTCACTTTGGACGAGTCAAAGCTCATTTTAAAGATGCGAAAAAAACCTTCAACGAAAGAAAAATTTTTGAATTTCACTCAGCCGTTGTCGAGATATTGCCGATCAAAAAGCCCCACTTTACATTTTTCACCCAACACTTATTCACTTCACTTCACTTTGCTTCACCTTTGTCCTTTAATTATTCTTAATTATTAATTTGTCCACAGAAACCGGGACATTTACCACACATGTTACGGCCTGAGCGGTCTCTCCATAGCCCAGAACTCGCCAACCCCTCTAATAGTCGGCAGAAAGCACCAAAACTCTGTCGAAATAATTCACCCCCTGTACAACCTGGTGCTAGCCTCAGTGGCGAACGCCCTGAGTCACTTCAACAAACTCCCATTACCGGATTGAACCCTCCACAACAACAACTTAAACCCCAACGATGGACCAAGGAGATGTTCGAGCGATACTCAAAAGTTTCATAAGTTTTTTATAACCTCACAAAGTCACTTGTTGTTAATAACTGATTGAATTGACGCTAGAATCTAACTGTCGATAAATGTTGAATTAATGTTGACTCCAGGTGGTCTCGAAATATAATAATTGAAACGTTGAAGCCCTCAGTTGAATTCAAATATCCTTTTCTATCGTAAAAAACACGCCCTCGTGTTGCTGGCGTCCCAACTATGAGACAAAGCAACTCATCTAGATGACGCATACGCAGTTGAGGGACTGGTCTGAGCCTGCGCAGTAGAACGGAGGGGCTGCGCTTGCGCGGGCAGCCCCTCCAAGGTGAAGCCATGTTGGACGCGAGTCAATTCAGTTCAGTCTTTCCCTCCAAAACCCGACGGAGGCTCCGCGAGACATGAAAATTCACGTTAATCGGCGACCGGTGGAGTGCGTGTGCCCGGTGTTGGATTCGAACGAGAACAAAGGGGTCCGCGATGGGTTTCCGTGGGGACTGAGTGCTGTGACAAGGACATTAGCGTGTTTTTGTTGTAAATAGTGGAGTTGGAGGTGCCCAGAGGACTCAGAACGCCGGCCGGAGGCGTCTGTTTGGCCACAAGCAGTCGCTTGTGGAGTCTTTACTGTGATTAGTGTCTATTGTCGTTAGAATTGAGTGAATTTCATGGAGGTGATGAGTTGAATCGGACGATTTGTGATGTTTTTGGGGCGAGAATGGACCTGGAGGACAGAAATGCTGGTTGGAAGCCTTTATTTGG